AAAAAAGGCATTAAACTGTCAAAATATGGTAAGTCTTAAAAAATTCATAGTTTTTACACCTCATTATACTACGTTCTTTATGCCTTATTATACTATGACTTTTTTAAGACTTACCATATTTTGACAGTTTAATGCCTTTTTTTGCCTTACTATACTATGAGTTTTTTTTTTTTTTGGTCATATTATATTTTGCCGTTTTTAACTTTTTTTTTATGCCTTACTAATAGTATGACGTTTCTTTATGCCTCATTAAACTGTTTTTATGCCTTAGTATACTATTACATTTTTATGCCTTACTATATTATGATAGTTTTTACACCTCATTATACTACGTTCTTTATGCCTTATTATACTATCATAATATAGTAAAGCATAAAAACGTCACAATATAGTAAGGCAATAAAAAATGTCATAGTAGAATAAGGCATAAAAATGACAAGAAAAGTCATAGTATAGTAAGGCAAAAAAACACATAGTATAGTCATTATGATGGTTTTTTGCCTTACTATACTATGACATTTTTCATAGTCATAAAAACGTCAAAAACCATCATAGTACAGTAAGGCATAAAAATGTCCAAAAAAGTCATAGTATAGTAAGGCATTAAAAAAAAAAAAAAAAAAAAAAAAAAATCATAGTAAAGAAAGCAAAAAAAAAAAAAAAAAAAAAAAAATAAAAGAAAAGAAAGGAAAAAAAAAAAAAAAAAAAAAAGTCATAGTATAGTAAGGCATAAAAAAAAAAATAAAATAAAAAAAAAGTCATAGTATAGTAAAGCATAAAAAAATTTGTATTTGTGGAAGGTGTTTTATATTTACAGATTACACATTTACACACTGATTTTCAATACGTTCACACAAATATTGAAACAAATCTAACCCCATAAATAAAAAAGGTATCCTGTGGAGTTTTTTTTTTACAAAGTCTAAACACATTGGTGATGTGTTAAACATTCCTGCTGCTAGTGTTCAACTGATCCAATAGTTGGTGGCAGTGCACGCCAAGAAACAAGTAAACATAGATATTCAATGCATGATTTTAAATGAACTTTGCAACCCTTCTATGGAAGACGGACTGACTTAATCCCTGTTTGGGTTTTAGTTATTTTTAGTCCTGGGTTTGTATTAGAATTAGTAGACAATACAACACCTGTAGTCTTGTCAAGGGTGCAGGTACAGTAACGACGTGCTGAGGGTTCCTCACTGCAGACGAGTACTTATACTGGCTGCTTCTGGTCACACCAGGCATGTCTGTACGTCCTCCTACAGTCTGGGTCCCAATGTTATCTAAACAAAGTCAGTACACACGTCACAAACTACCAACCACATAAACAGCGCATTTTAGAGGAATAGAGCTTATCCTGTTGTCTTAAATCAGGTACTCACTTGTCTTGTGTGTAGAGCTGACAATATGTGGAGCCTGGGTGGAAGCCTGTCTAACTGTAGCAATTGCTGTCGATCCACGTCGGGGAACAGAATTACCAATAAACTGGGTTGAGTAGGGGCCTAAAAATATAGAGACAACATTATATATGCAGTATATACTGCATATAGACATAAATATCCATGTGAACACAACACAAACTGTCCATTCACCCTGTGGTCTCGGAGGCTGTCCTGTCCAACGAGGTGCTGGCCTCATGTTGCTGACAGCATTGTGGTTGTAGAAGGAGCGAGTGGGAGGCTACAAGAAAAGTATCTGTTTAAAATGCATGACATCAAACTGCAGGTCAACCTCTAAATCATAATGAATATTTATGTGTTTGTACAGAACGTGATGCAAATTTAAACAATGACACAACTGCATACAAAGGGAAAGGACACAAATTTGCCCAGGATGGCGTGAATTGCCATGAACATGCATCTGGTCGAGCTGAAAATGTTTCAGTTTGAGTGAGAAAATTTGTGTGTATCCCAGAGCTTTATAAATCTGTTACATGAAACATACAGAGACAAGAGGAAAAACAAGAGCAACTGAATGGAAATAACAGAAGAAAGGGGGGAATTAAAAAAAAAAAAAAAATTGTGTGGAATTCCTCGACTGCACGTTAATCAACTTGGGTCCCAAACTGACACCTGCCAAGAACCAAAGCCCAGTTCAAATGAGTCTGTGACAGAGGGAGAAAAAACCAATGAGACCATCCATCAGCCATCACACATTACCTCACTGGTTTTTCAAATGTTTCCTGTAAAAAACATGTCATTTGGTACTAATTACTGGAAAAACAGAAGTTCTCCGACTGTTATTTTAGTTAGTGTGTTGAGTTTATTATTGATTTCCAGATGAATTTCCATGAATAAAATTGCTCAATTTAAACCCCAGTGAATATTCATTAGTAAACTTTCACATTTTGCATGTTCAGCTCACCTGCTGTTCTCTGAATATGAGTCTCAAGGTTGTGCTAGCTTAGCATTTACAAATAACTAAGTGGACCAACTGATTACTCTTTGTTTGACCTATAATAATTGGTACCAAATCAAGTTGTTCCTTCCAGGAAACTTCTAAGGAGATGCAGGCCTTTGCGAAGGAGGTGCAGATCAATAAGCTGGGGGATTTAGTTGACCAAACATATTTTCTGTATTTTCCAACCACTGATCAGGAATGGCAGCGCAATGAACAACTCATTCAAATTGTATTCCCTCTCCTGTGTCACTGTTCAAACATCCGTACCTGCGGTACAGTCATGTAGTATCCGGCCTGCTGGTACGAGTCGATGATCGGACTTGTCATGGTCCTCAGGGTAGCAAGTCTCTGCATGTACTTGTTAGTAAGGATTGCTTTACGCTCCTCCCTCCGCTGAGCCAGAGCCACATACAGCGGCTTGGTTGCAATAATTCTCCCGTTCATTTCCGTTACTGCTTTTGTTGCTTCCTCAGGTGAAGAGAAACAGACAAAGCCAAAGCCCTTGCTTTGAGAGCCGTCTGTCATCACCTACAGAAAACAAAGAAGCTCAGGTTCAGAAATATTTCAGATACTAAAACATTTCAGAACGCAACTGACAAGTGCCAAATTTGAACTCTAAGTTGTGTGTCCTGATCCAGGTTAAATCAATGGTTTGCTTCATCTGGTTATTTTTCCAAGGCAGCACACCCACCTTTGGTCTTGCCATTTTTATGGTATTTGTGAATTTGCTCAAAGCCTCTATTGTTTGATCAGTTGTCAAACATGGGGATGAGCCAGCACCAAATGGGAGCTTTATTTAGGCATATTTTTACACATTTTCTTCCTTGACTGTTGATGTGTAAGTGAAGTACGCTGTGGGAACGGTTTTAAAAGTCTTTGTAGTGCTATGATGATTCTCTCTATACTGTCAAAATAAACTGCTCTCTGTACAGAGGGCAAATATCAACATAACAGTCTTAAGTCTTTTATTTTAAAGGATTTTTTTAAAGGATTTTTTGTGTGCCTTATTACTTAACATTTTATTGGGCAGGCTTTTGATTGATACATGTATCTACTCAGACAAACACATACACTTTACATTATTACAATACCTTGGCACTGGTGATGGTGCCATAAGGAGCAAACTCCTTCCGGAGTCTCTCATCATCTATGCTATCATCCAAGTTCTTCACATAGAGATTCACCCCCTAGAAACAGAGAGTGACAAATGATAGGCTCATCCATCCCAGCTATTTTCTTTGTTTGTCAAGCTAATGAACATAAACATGTAGAGCAACAAATCCAAACTTACTTTCTTTTAAAAATACTAAGTGAGCTGGCTTCTCTGATATCTATAGGTTGTGTGTTTCATAGTTTTGGGCTGTAATGGAGTTAATGATGTAGTTTGGTCCTCACCCATTAAGGGCTTTGCACATAATGAGGAGGACCTTGTAATCAATTCTAAATGTAACAGGAAGCCAGTGCGGAGCAGCTAAAACTGGACTAATGTGCTTTCTCCTCTTGGTTCTGGTTATTAGCCGAGCTTACATTTATTCACCATTCAGCTTTTAGGGTCATATCGCAGATGACGACAATATTTTCTATGGTGAGATCAGTTGGGAAATTGCCATCTTACTCAATCTTTGTTGTTTTGAAACTCTGACCCATGCTTTTGTCTCAATCCAGCTGACTGGCTGAGGTTTAACTCAGAAGACCTACAGTTTTTTCCCCAGTGTATATAGATAAGGTCCCAATTGTGAACATTACTGAACCTTTAATTTCTTTCCACATTTAATATATCAACTCTAAAAATGTAAATGCAAGACCACAAACAATGAAAGTCAGCAAGAAGTCTTCAAAAGACAATGCCCATACGCCTACAATGCAGCCGTACCTGATAGCGCTGGATGCGGTCTTGTTTGATCTGGTCAAACTTGCGTTTGAGCTCTCCCTGGCGTTCCAGACGTTTCTGAGCCCGTCCGACGTAGATGATTTTCCCATTGATCTCCTTTCCATTCATTTCATCAACTGCCTAAGAAAACAAGAGGAGAATCAACATGTTCTAAAATGTGTCAACTACCTCAAATTATAGGAAAAGTAAAAGGCAATAATATTTAAAACTGCATTTAGTTCAATTTCCAGATCAAAACGGAATCAAATCACTCCTGGTTCCTTCTATTAACAAGCCCGCTTAAAATAGACACCTAACTCAGCTCTACACAGCTCTTAGCCTCTTTTAGCTCATTGTTTTAGGTTTTCTGGCCCACGCATGGACTGTCTGGCATCAAATAGAAAATATTTCCATACACCAATCTTGGCTTGTTTTTTTCCCCACAAGTCGCAGCGGACCTGTTGTTGTACCCACACTGCTGCTATTCCTGCTGCGTGTTGTTATTGTTTACTTGCCTTCTAATTGCCGTCTTCTTCTCTTCAATTTTGATGTAAGACTAGAACGCTTGTAGGGTTACTAAACTGCCCTCATCAGTCCCAGAAGAATCACATCTCCAATAACTAAGTATGACATCTATGGTACTGCAGAAAACCAAGTACTTGCAGAATTTATGCATTACTGATGTACTGATGTATCAGTCCTCATGAGATCCCTAGTTAGGAACATCAGATATCTTTTCGGCACACACACAGAGCAGACAGCTACTGGACCGTGAGGAGATATTCACTGAACTTGACAAAAAGTAGAGTCACTCACTCAACCTTCTGGACAATCTGAATTGTCTTGATTGTGTATGACTACAGTGATAGTCAGTGCTGCAGGTCCAGCCTAAATGTCAATATAATGGGCTGCTACGGTTGGCAGGTATCCAGAGTGGACATAGAAACTTGGCAAACACTACCTTCTGAGCATCCTCATGGTTAGCATAGTTTACAAAGCCAAATCCTCGTGAATGCCCCCTCTCGTCCCTCATCACCCGCACACTGAGAGTCCTCCCTGAGAGCATAAATCAGAGTATAAGCTCAGTGAAATGAATGTAAATTCTCTACTTTTCCACCAATGGTAGCAATTTATCAAATGGATTGACACTGAGCAGGAACAAAAAAAAAAAAAAAGTGATTTCTTACCAAATGCAGAAAAGACTTCCTTGAGTTTCTCATCACTGTAGTCTTCACCAAAGTTCTTGATGTAGACGTTGGTGAACTTCATAGCTTTGGTGCCAAACTCCACCTCTCTTTCCTTGCGAGACTTAAAGTGGCCAACAAAACTGGAGAGAGAATCAAACCCAAACACAACATAATAATGAAGGGATAAAAGTAAGTAAGTTTATTATTTTATTATTTAATTAACAGAAAACTTTAATGTTTGAAAATGTGTGCAGCTTCAGGACACAGCATCAATAACAATTGCTGAGGACAGATCAGACATCAAGAAACAACACAATTAAGACAACAGTCACAATAAATAAATAATTTTTGCATGAGATAACATTTAAGGACAACTTCTGTCATGAATGGAAGAAAGAAAGAAAAACGATTACACCGCATCCCTGATGGTCTTGCTTTATGCAACGCATAATTGCCTGTTCAGTCCTAAAATTACAATACACACAAAAGACAACAAACCTAGATATAGATCCTACCAATTCACTGACCTACACGGGGAGAACTGACTTTTTTCCCCCAGGATATGGGCCTTTGAGTTGGCAATGTCTGATTCCAACTGACGTCTACCTGTCTTTTGACTGAGCAAAAAAGACACAGAAAAAGTCTGAGACATCTGCAACAGAGTCATCAGTATTCAACAGTTTATATAGTTTACATACATATATTCTACACTACCCTTTGCCTCAACTTACTTTTTGAGAGCACATTTGCCATTTTTTGAGGAACAAAAAAACAGATCAAATTGAAGTTTAGTATTTAGTTCACTCACACTTTCCTGTCATTCAGCAGCATGCCATTCATGGTTTCAATGGCCCGGTTTGCTGCCTCCTGAGTCTCAAAGTGAACAAAGCCATATCCTCTGGATCCTTTGTCATCACAAACAACCTACAAAGACAAAGGCTTTATATTGCACAAAACTTTATAGCCGCAAAAAAGCCACTTACATTTGAGTTTTAAATATGTAGGTCTTTACAGGGCGGAGTGACAGTTCTGTGGTATCACTTTTTGATCTTCAGTGGAATATCAGAATCATTATTTTATATTGTTTTACAAAATTCTGTTGTCTAAATGAAATTTTCCAAGCAAATTATAGTCAAAAATGGAATTATTTACAGATATTTTTCTTTTACACATCTTAAAAAAAAGAAAAAAAAAAAGATTAAAACTATATTGCCCAGCCCTGCTCTGGTACACAAATTTTATCCTCACAATATCACACATAGAAGATAGCCGGGTGTGTTACTCAATATCAGCTTAATACTCGGTAACTATAACAATACTGCAACAATAGCTTATCACTGAAGAAACAAATAGCTGTTGAAGATTAGAGACTTACAGCAATTCTGCAACAGTCAAAAAGACGACCCAAGCCACTTACCTTGCAGGACAAAATATTGCCGAAGGCTGAGAAGGTATCGTACAGTGCCTTGTTGTCAATAGAATCATCCATGTTCTTGATGAAGATGTTACCCACACCAGACTTCCTGAGTCCTGGGTCACGCTGAGACCACATTATTCGGATTGGCCGTCCCTTGATAACGTCATAGTTCATTGTATCCAGGGCACACTCCGCTGAAACAAAGTTTGAAAGATATATTTTATTGTTGAGAACCCCGTTTAATTTTTAGAAAAAAATCTATTTACTGTACTATTTTTTTCTTGATATTTGTCACAAAGCACTGCTATTCCAAAGATGATTGAACTTCAGCTTCAAATGAAACTAAGAATTTACACTAAACTACCCAGTGTAATCACGCAAGTGATTTAAGTGGATTTGGCCAAAATTGCTACTTCACCATCAGCTGGTTGCTGGAAGTTTATGTAGGCATATCCAAGAGATCTGCGGGTGATGATGTCTCGGCACACACGAATTGACATGATGGGTCCAGCAGGAGAAAATTTCTGATAGAGCATGGCCTCTGTAACATCAGGGTGCAGGTCCCCTACATACAAAGAGGCGAGGGGATATGCTGGTCCACTGCTGTTCATCTTGGGTAACAGCTAGTTCAAGAAATAAGAAAAACAGTTATGAGCAATGCAATGTGTTTTTCTATTTGAATAATTTTTTATTTTTTGATGGAGAAGTGTTGATTTGGCTCCCTGGTTGTTTCTGAGGCTGCAGTAAAATTAGAAACTTTCAAAGAAAAATTAAGAAAAACAACAAACATTCACAGTGGAGAAGGGGAACCAGAGAATTTGTGGTATTTTGCTTAAAAAAATGTTTTGGTCGAGAGTCTGGGTACACTTTGAACAGGCACAGAAACTTATTTTTATATTCTTATATTTTGCCCACCACACATATATAAATTAGTGACAGTAGACAAAATATTAACAATGGCTCTCAATATAATTCAAGAATGTTAACCAGCACCACAAACTACATCCTCCAAAATGAGCGCATAGTTGAATCAGTGCCTCTCTAAAACATGAAACAAGGGTAGGCCAAATAATACACTTCTCTGTATAAACACAGTACAGTTCAACAGCACCACAAACTACATCCTCCAAAGTGATCAGTTGAATCACTCAGCTCCAAAACTGATTAATAGAACACTTAAAACTATAACTTTAATGGAGGGAGGATTTACTGAAGGACTTTTCTATTAGACTGCATTGGTTTTACCTAGGTGTACTTAATAAACTGGCAGCTGAGTATATGTATGATTAAAGAAGATCTTAATATAATAAACACACACACACATAGACTTCAGTATGAGTTTCTGGTTGATAAAAAATAAATAAATAAAAAATAAAAACACTGTACTTGAACTTCTCACACTTGGATTAGATTAACACAGAAGACTGTTCAAAATCAGTTTTCTCAACACAAAATGCATGTTTTTCTCCCCACACATCACTACGTTAAATGCTTGCATGAAAAGGTGCAGCGATCTAAAAATGCATATAGTAAGTTAACATTTGTTAAGTTAATCATGGCATAGCTTTACTTAACATCACACTTGGACAAGTAAATTCAAAAAATATTATTTGTCTTGTAGACGAAATCATTACGTAGCGCTAGCTAAAGTTGGCTGAAATCATATCCTTTCTTTGAGCACTGAACATCAAAATTAACAGATATTTGCTACAGGTGAACAACTACATTTCAGCAAACAAAAACAGATCTAAGTCGACTAAATAAACGTTACTTACAGCCTTTCAAATAACCGAGGCGTCGACTTTTGGTGTTTGGCTCTCAATGCCACAGATTCACTTTCCAGGCGGGAGGTTGTTTTCGTTTAATTATGACCGTGGAACACCTGCAGCTCTCCTCCGCATCGTCATTTCAATTAGGTTGCGAGAGGACATGATTAATTTGCGTGACACTCCGCCATGAAAACTAGTTCTTGCATGACAAGGAATAACCTCATATTTATGTTCGCTCTCTGGTTGATAACAGTGGTTTATGCTATATTTATGAATTAAAATGTGTTTTCAAGACTAAACCACCTCAATAAAATATTCCTTGTGAACAAAAATGAAGACGTAATTTGCCTGTTATCTTAAACGAAACTTTATTTCACTGAATGGTCTTTGACACTTTCCTATTTCTTACATGTATAGTGAAACTAGAATGGTTTTAAAGATACATAAACACAAAGCTAGAATTACACCAACCATTGTTTATCTCCATTTCGTCATTGCTTTTTAGAGCTAATCTAAATTTTCACAACCACGTGTGTGCACTGGGTAATAGACTGTTACAGAAGCAAATTTTAGCCATAAGACTTGTCAGTAAAAACAAAGCAAGTAGATACCTGATATACAGACAGGCTTCGTTCCACATTCACTAACTGCATTTTCATCAAGCATAATAATAAACTGACATGATTTTTTTTTTCAACAGAAATTATTTCAATTCATTGGAGCATTGTCAGAGTAAACAGACTGTCAGCTATAATGTGGAATGGTGTCTTCAACTACAATATGTGGAATGTAGTGGTGATACATGGTATTGTGACACTGAGCTTCTTTCCAAATTGCACCTTCAACATAGACCTGATTTTTGAGACGATCATTCACACCGGGTATCTTTAACAGCAGAGTGATGCACCTGGGCAAAAAAATGAGGTCGATATTTGCCAGTCGTAAATTCTTCTGGCCTAACTCGTTCACTTTGATATTTCTAAAAACAACAAGCAGATGCTGCCACCTAAACAAAAATAGAGGCTGCAAGAGAAAGCCAGGCACAATTTTTTTTTTTTTTTTTTTGGAGAAAACAACCGCTTTAAGAGGAATATTTTGCAAGCAGGGTTGATACAGTGTGGTAAGACATTTTCAATTAACATCAATAAAAGGTTACTTTAGGTTTTACATACAGATGATAGTCAATCTTGCAAAATACATGGAACCACATTTACGCACATACAATTTTCATTGTACTGAGATCAAGCAGCACCTGAACAGTGAGTAAAACTACAATGACAATTCATACTTAGTTCAAAAAAAAAAAAAAAAAAAAAAAAAAAAGGAGCACTGCCTTTCCAAAAGCCTAATAATGTGGAATGTCTTATGTCTGAACAAATCTAACATGACAATTTAAGGGGTCCCTTAAAACTTTGAAACTGTGAATTTGTGAACATGATCAAGGAGCATTACACCAAGATGTCAGTGTCACAATACAGCCTACCTCCTTTCTGTATGAGCCCACAGCAGAATTGCAGTTAGTTGAATACAGGATTGTACGTGTGTCTGGAAATTCAAACACAAAACTGTTTTGGGGTTGTGAAGCAAATGGAACGCCTACCATCACAGTGTTTGGTGGAAATCAACTGCCAGTTTAATTACCATACAATAAAACCTGTAAATATCATGAGGAATCACAAATAAGAAAAGTAACAAAAAAAAGGGATGAGAAATGCACAACAAACTAGCTGGGACAAAGGAATTTGGAAGGACGATTAGAATTCACAACACCCCCCTCCCCCCCCCAGACCATACACACAATCTTTCATATCCATTCACACTTGCTCATTCACTACATACAGACAGACACACAAAGCTGACAAAAACAACAGCAACATGGACTCACTAATCAATACAACATGTTTCCACAAAGTGACTGAATCTGCTAACAACTGAAAATTACCCTGTCACCTCACAGTGAACTGAGAGGGGTAAACTAGTTGGTCAGGAGCAATTCAGGCTGCTTGTCATACAGAAGTGGGAGGGGCTGATGGAGTGGAGGGGGATGTATATAAGCTGTCTGTGTTTAAGATAAGAGTGTAGGTGGATTAACAGTGCAATTCCATTAGTTTTCCCCGTCTCCGGTCTCTCCCTCATCTGCCTGGTTTTCCGATGTCCACAGCTGGAAACAGATACAGTACAGGGTTATAATTTGCTGTGAATAATAAATACGCCAGGATCAATCAGGGATAAAACAGCATGGGGTTTAAAACTCACAGTCAGGTTGTCCCTTAGTAGTTGCATGATCAGGGTGCTGTCTTTGTAAGAATCCTCGTTCAAAGTGTCAAGTTCAGCGATGGCTTCATCAAATGCCTGAAAAACAAAGATTAAACTTGTTATTTAATCTTGCATAACCTAACAGCATCCCCTAAACAAGGTCTGGCAGTGACTAAACAAAACTGTACATTTCTTTGAATTACTGAAAAATAAATGCTCAATGTTTCCTTCCAAGTAATGAAATGTTTCTTGCAATTCGTTATAATTACTGTCTTCAAGTCTTTACAAATATTACTGTCCTGCAAAACATTTCAAAACTATGCCTTTCAGCATCAATTCATACCGTCTTAGCCAGGCTGCAGGCCCTGTCCGGGTTGTTGAGGATTTCATAGAAGAAGACTGAGAAGTTGAGGGCCAGGCCAAGCCTAATAGGGTGTGTTGGCTGCATCTCCCCCTTGCTAATGTCAAAAGCTTGCTGGTACGCCTGCTGGGAATTCTCCACTGTATCTATAGCAGGAAAAGATAAAAAAATAAATAAGTCTCTGTTTACAATACATTTTAAAAGGAGTATTAATTGATTATTTTTTGGCCACTTGGGGGCAGAGAACAAGATATGATATTGTCAAGTAATTGAAATTTCAAACAATTGTCTATAAGCCGTCAGAGCAACACTAGCAATAATCTGGATGCATGTTTGTGTCCGTCTGGCAAATCTAAGTCCAATATTCAGTCTGCTTTTAGCTCTGTTTTAGTCTCCACAGAGTGCTGAGGAAAATATCTGGCTCTTTGGGTGCTAAACACTCTACTCTGTTCATCCATGGCAAACTTTATCCATCTGCCATTTGGTGCTGAGCAGGAAGCCTGTCATCTGAATAGCCTGTACAACAGAGATGGTTTTTTTCCCCCCCTAAAAACAGCTGCCTGCTGGTGCTGGATACAACACTGATGAGAGGTGTGAATGATCGGGGGCTGAAAAATGAAAAAATGCTACACAGAGCTGAGAGGAACTGATGAGTTGAGTGGTAATTCTCGGTGGGATCATCGCAACGAGAATTTTCACATTACACCATTATTTAATGCATTGTTTAAAAAAAATACTCATTTGTGTTAAGAGCACATGACTAAATACTGTGCTCACTTACCCTTCTTAGTATCCCCAGATGCAACCTCAGACAGGTATCTATAATAGTCGCCTTTCATTTTCAGGTAGAACACCTTGCTTTCAGCAGCAGACGCATTGGCAATGAGATAGTTGTCCAGTAGGCCCTGAAAACAATAAGTTGAGTTTTTCAGTAAAGTGATAGTTAGGCATAGGCACTGTCATCACATGTGTATGGTGCTTAAAAACAATAATTCAAAGACACTGGAAACTCTTACGAGCACATCATGGCAGATTTCCTGCAGCTCAGATTCAATCTTCTCCCGGTATTCACGTGCCATCTGCTGTTTTTTGTCATTGCCCTCAGTCTTCTGCTCAATGCTGGAGATGACGCGCCAGGATGAGCGGCGTGCTCCTACCACATTCTTGTAGGCAACAGAGAGAAGGTTGCGCTCCTCGTTTGACAGCTCTGCACCCTGCTCTGTCACTGACTTCATGGCTGCAGCCATGTCATCATAGCGCTCAGCCTGCTCAGCAAGCTTGGCCTTCTGTACCAGGTCGTTCTTATCCATTTTCTAGACTGAGGAAAAGAAAACACAGTGTTAGAAGTAGTTGGGTGTAGTAAATCAAGAGACAAGGAAGAATGTTCCACAATAGTCCTAACATTGTCCATTCACCATACATTTGTGTGATCTGAACTCTCATGAAATGATTTTATTTTGCTTTGGCAGACCAGGTCTTTTAAACAAGGAAACCGCCAGATTCTATGGAAAGTGAGGATAAGCAATGCGAACTGGGCCCCTTGGCAAGTGGGTCAACCATACACATCACTTGCTAAGGTTAGCTGCTAGTTAGACAGGGCTCTCCAATCCTATCTCTTCCGTTTCTTTATTGGCCTAATTTGATCTGAATAAAGTTGAATCCAATATGTCGAACAGTAATAGCAACTGCTGTAGTGTGAAATTGAATACTGGCTCGCTTAACGTTGTTTCAACCGACACTTGCTGCAGCAGACGAAGCCTTCCCGGGTCAGGTTTTAATGCCCTCCCCTGATGTTGCTAGCAATGCTAGCGGGGTGATGCGTTTCGCTCACTGACGTTAGCCTGCTAAATGTGACTGTAGATGTGATTCAACACTTATTTTATTCCTATAATACATTGTCGACCTAACTGGATTAGATAACGTTACTGGGGCTAATCTGGCGTATTCATGATAACGCAAACCGGAGTGGAGTGGCTAACAGCTAGCTAGCCACCGTCGTCTAATGTAGCGTTACCGCTATCTAACGGTAACGCTCGTTAGCTAGGCCAGCAAAAGCAACGACAGACTTTTCATTTAAAAACCACGGTTGGGCTGTTGGCAATCAACATTTGCCGTTTTTAATGATCAACAGAAAAGAAAATCTGGTCCTGCAATGTATTACGTTCGCGTTTAATTCATTTTCAGCAGCTGTGCCGCGGCCCGCCCAGGCTGCCGAGCCTGTCAGAACAAAGTGTCACGGAATCCGACCGTCGATTAGCTCGCTGGCTAGCAGCTAATGCTAACGCTAGCCAGCTAGCTAACCGACTTTTCACAAACCCAGCTAGCCTGCTCCATTAGCATGACGGGTTCTCAACGGGATCCAACCGGACACGATGAAACGGACATTCTAACATTGGGCTACGAATGAAAATCTAGTGTTATAACACGCTATTCATACGTGCGAGGTTACTATACTCACAATATTGGCGACTTTTAATCCTGCTTTTTTTCTCTCTCTCTGGACGATTCAGCCTCCGTCCTCCGTCTCGCTCAGCGTATCGTTCAGGGCAGTACCACTTCCGCTACACTGGCAGTTCTGTTTCCTCTTTTCTCACCACACATCTGCCTTACGTAATGCAGCCACTGCTCATATGCTAAATAACACAATTAACACAAACTTAAAATACTGCGTTTCAAGAACACGTTATGTGCTATTTCTAAATTTAACGGGTTGTAAAAAGGCCACACCACCACTTCCACAATACATCGGTTTATTCGGCTTGATGGTTTTACTTTACTTTATTTGTCTTTTTATTCAGTTTTAATTCCCTTTTTATATATATATTTTTTATATTACGTCAGTGGAATTGGTTTCATCTTTTTATATCCAATGTTATGATTTTGTTTTTAATTTGCTGCCCTGTGTGAATGACTTTATAACATGAGCTTTGAAAAGTTCTTGCTTCATAATTAATTAATGAAAGTCTGCATATTAAAGGATATGTCCACATTTAAAAAAAAAAATTAAAACAATAGTCAGGTGCCCATATGAACACTGGAACAGGTTTTTCTTGCTGTGCTCATTCCTCCAAAATGATTCAGAAGTTTATCTGAAGATAACATGAAGCTTCAGCAGTCTGAGTTATGCAAATCAATTTGATATTTTCCAAAGTTTGAATATTCTTAGTACTAAATTCCCAATTTTTTTGTATTGTTTTGTTTTAATGTTCCTTCACTGCAGCTCAGCACAGAAGCCCTGCCCAGGCAAACACAAAAATGAAATTTTGTACTAACCAGGCCGTAACTTTGGAAGATACTGACTTGATTTGCCTAGCTCAGATTTTGTCCTCCCCCATCACCTTCCTACTAAAACAAAATTAATATTATCCAGATGTTTTTAAAAGACCGAGTATACCTGTTGTGGACAAACAATTTCTAGCACTTCAGCTTTATCTTTAGGTAGCTTTAGGTATGTCTGCATAATTTAAACATGTAACAAAATATAAAGAATTATGGGTAGATAATTGTGAGATTCATATAAATAAATACATTTTATTTGTGTAGGAAAGCTGCCCTTGCTTTTCATCCTGCAGCACAGTTAAAGGTCAAGGTGAGTAGCACTTCTGGAGCTTGCAGAGCTTCAGTGGACACTTAAGCAGATGTTTGTCAATGCAGGGGCTTAAATCTGATACTCCAGTTTGAGGTTGGTTTCTGCTATCAATATATTTGCCTGCAGCACAAGCAATATATATGGCAAAACATCTTTAAAATTCATGACAGTTCAACATGCAGATTCCATATTTGATCTTTGCCTGGGTGCATGTAACCAATCATTTTCATTATTGAGTAATCTGTTGATCAGTTTTTCTATGAACAGATTCATATAGTTTAGGAAATGTCAGATAATAGTGAAACATTTCAGGTTCCCAGAACACAAGAGAACATCTTCAAATCGCTTTTGCTGTTCGAAAAACCACACAAAACCCAAAGATTTTCAATTTGTAATAATATAAAACCGCAAAAAAAATCTCACATTTTCGTACTCAATAAATCATCAAGATTAATTTTCTAGCCACCATTTAAGTGATTTATTGACTTAACGTTTCAGCACTCCAGGACGGTTTTATAAAATTCCAGTTTGAGTGGCCTTAAATGGTCAATCTAAGGATGCAGAGTAGCTGTAATGGTCTGTTGGAAAGCAAGCATGTTTTCCAGGTGAGAAGTTTGGACACCTCACATACAAAGTTGTTGAAAAAAAAAAAGGGGCTTGTGCTCATTTAACATTTACGAAGAAAAGCATCATCTGATGGAAAACTGGAGTTTCTGTCGAAGAATCTGTCTAACTGCCCAGCTGCTTGAAGGGAAAAATGTTGATCATGATTCGGAAAAGGAATATAGCATGTATTCTCGAAATAAGCTCAGAATTCACAAATGGCAGAATAATTAAGAAATGAACAAAAGAAAAATATTCCACAGGCTTAAAAAAAAGTCTGCTTCTTCATAGGGGAACAGCCCTCTCCTAAAGAGACAGAGTGTATTAACTGTTTTTAAGTTGTTATCTGAATAGAAGTATTAAGTTGAAATACGGACAAATAGTTTTCTCTCTCCAGTTCACCGCTTGCTTTGGCAATTCATTTCAAAAACATCTTTCACCATCAGTTACTGGAACCTGGGACCACTGTTTTTCCAGTAAGAACATTCCTTTGTTACTGAAAGTAAAATTTAAAAGTGGTGTTCATTAGGTTCACTTTTCAATTTTAATTGTAACTTTCCATTCCATATGTTCTACTCACCAATAACAGACACTATTTCTGTCTGTTTGCTGCACACAAAAAAACCCAAACAAAAACAGTACTTTAGTCTTAAGAGTCATCATGACCACTGAGAGGGAGACAAACACAGCACCTATTGAGTTAAAGTTTGTTTCCCTGTCTTACTCAGCGGTATTCTGGCAGCTTAATAAAAACTGTATGGAAAATTTTTCTTGCTCACATGTACCTCAGATCCTTGCCTAGCAGACAACACTCTCTTCTCTCACCAAGACACCATGATGCAATTAAGGACTTTAATTTTCACATCTGTTGTGCTCCCGTGGATACTGTCTTCTGCAGCAAAAGATGAGTACGTGGAAGCAAGAAAACCTAAGGTAAAAATATCTTCTGGGGGTTACACACTGTGTGACAATAGTTTGGAGGAAAACTACAGCTATTATGAAGATTTCTTCTTTTTGCAGAGGGACATTGTAAACCTTCCCGACTATGGCTTCCTTCAAGACACCGACCCAGCAGTTCCAAAAGCTGATGGTAAGGTTTGTTTAAAGAGATAAATAGTTTTCAACAACTGTTTCAAAGCCGATTATGCAACACTTGCTGAGGCATTCTTCCACATTTTTGTGAATGTAGCTAAAGCCCATATTATGTAATAATGGGGCCGATCAAGTGTCCTCATCTAAACTGTGTGTAGTGCATTTTAAGCTGCACAGTCACATTGCTGCGACCAATTAGTTGACAAATACAAAAAACTGTTTGTGTAAAACAAATAATAACTAAATGATTTAGGAAAAAAACCTGTGATCTTTCAGAGTTGCCAACATGTCTACTGTGTGTTTGCCTGAGTGGATCTGTTTACTGTGAGGAAGTGAATCCTGAAATGTCAGCCGTCCCAGCACTGCCAAAGGAAACTGCATATCTCTATGCACGTTTCAACAAGATCACAAAAATACGCAATCAAGACTTTGCGGACATGGGTAAATAGAAATAATTAAAATATTCAACTAATTCTCCTCAGGTGAATGTCATCTTTCAAGGTTTCTCTCCTTTCTTTGATTTTTTTTTCAGCCACATTAAGAAGAATTGACCTAAGTGGGAATCTCATCTCTGAGATAGAAGATGGAGCTTTTTCCAAACTTCCTAATCTTGAGGAGCTCACTCTTGCGGAAAATAAACTGACTAAACTTCCTACACTTCCCACCAAGCTAGTCTCATTCAATGCCAATTTCAACAAGCTTAAAACCCAGGGTGTAAAGGCAACTGCTTTTAAGGTAAGTAAGAATGCGATAGTAGATTTGTACTTTGGATGTTTGGATGTGTGATAGAGCAAATCGAGCAAATTGCTCGATCCATGATATTGGCCTTTTGTTGTTGCAGAAACTCACGAGACTGGTATATCTTTACCTTGGAAACAATGAACTGACAGCAGTGCCCCAACTTCCAGAGTCTCTTCATGTTGTGCATCTGCAAGTAAGTTCATCTGTAATTCACCAAAATCACAGAAATTAATCAGACCTGCTCTGTAGAAGCAATTAGATTTTTCTCTCTCTGCGGAGCCAGTACTAGCTACCTGATGGGCTAATTTTGTGCCTTTGAATCGGTCTCCTGCAGAACAACAAGATCTCAGCAATAACAGATGAGACGTTCTGCAAAGGTAACACCAGCCATTACATCCGGGCCAACCTGGACCAGGTGAGACTGGATGGGAACCCGGTCAAGCTGTCAATGCACCCTAACAGCTTCATCTGTCTGCAGACTCTCCCTGTCGGATGGTACAACTGATATTACCAAAGCATGCTTTTGACCGAGCCAAACCTTAAGGGGGGAGGGGGGTTCTGTGTAAACTGAAGGATGCAGATACACAGATAGTAAAAATACCATTTACAAAATACAGTTCTTAAGTTACATTTTATATACTCAAATCTACCGTACAGTTCAAGACATCATACGTTTTTTTTTATAATTAGAAAGAAATCATATAATTATAGAACAGATTTGAACAAGTGGAAGAAAGAGCTTGTGTTTTTTGTTTCTTATCAGCGCTATCTGCCAGATTGAGACACATCTGTGCAAAATTTATGTCTATAAATACAAAGGCTCATTTTGTATTTTTTCTTTAGTTACAATTTGGCTGAGACAGTTCTGTCTTGGCAGGTGCTATGCAATGTTTTCAACTTAGCAGATCGGCAGGCTCACTGTCAAATAAATACTGAGACCTGGACATGGTTATCGTGAAGAAATGAGACCATTTGTTGTGATTTTTTTCCAGCATTTATCTCAAACCATTTGTATTATCACTGCTGTATTGCTAATGTTTCTTAAACCAACGACCATATAAACAATAAAACCTGCATGTTGGAAGAGAATTCTCCTTCAGCCTTTCACTCTTAACTCTTTATAACTGTGATACGGTTGTTGTTGTTGTTGTTGTAAGCCAGTAACAAATTTTAGTTTATTCCAGATTGTCTGAAACAAATAAGAGAGCAAGAGTCTGAGAATGTGTCTTTCAACAACACATGTGAAGTCCGCATCAAATCCGATCATCATTCACTTGGCTGCAGGCTCATTAAGAGCTATCAGTCCATCTGCTATCTTCTGCTGGTACTCCCGTTCTGATCGTTTTCTCCTGTAGACATCATCTGGAAAAATAAATAAATAAGAGACTGAAATAAGACACCTGCAACAGGCAGTTTTAATACAGGTAAAGCTGCATTGAATAAAACAGTGCCATATGGTGGGCTACTGAGACTACATTGTGGATGGCTGATGTTTGCCATCTGTGTCTTATTAATAATAATAGAGGACAGTTTGATATGTCAAAGTAGGAAAAGTACAAGTGATACTAATAAAATTAACAGTGGTTCTGTTCTGTTCAATGACCTTGCAAGCTATGACAGCGTGAGTGAGCCAGCATGCACACAATAGACGTTTTTCTACAGCAGATGTTTTGACTTGTCATATTAGGAAAAGCAAAGGTGTAATTAAAAACATTCATAACAACAGATTTAGATCAGACAGTTCCAGGGTGCCGGTATCACTGTCTCAGCTCACTGGAACACTTAACGGCACTGAGCCATCCTTGGAGAAATTTGTTTGACCTGTGCTTTCCCTCCTATGACAAGTTAAAACATCTGTTGTGAAAAAGGTCTGTACCAGGATTCTGAAACTGAAGCTGGTGAATTCAGTTATAATGCTTTTTGTTCTCCTCCACTTCTGTTTTTCCTTCTGTGATATGTCAAATTTCTACTGTGAATTATTGGTTATCCTGCAGACCCTTTGAATGAAAACAGGAGACTGTTTTCTGCAGAAGAAACATTTCTCTGTGTCCCTACATAGCCTCACAATACAACAGGATCAAATTTGCAGGGCTGCTCTTTTGTTCTTTTTTGAGCCTTTTTAGTTCTCCTGAAATGGCACATTTGAGCACATCTGGAATATTGTAATATGGGTTCAGTGAGAGGAGAAACACACCGGGGCTCTTTTTCTTTTCAGTCTTATGACTGACCCTGTGGCATATTTACTCTCTACAGGTATAGCTAAAGATACATCAGTAAAAAATCAGCAATGTGATATTGAGTGCTTAAAAAAGTACATTTACTCAAGTACTGTCCTTAACTACATTACGTTTACTTGAGTATTTCCTCTTTATGCTACTTTACAGTACACTAACAGAATTAGTGAAATATTAGTAGTGGAAATATTGTGCTACATTCATTTGACTTTGAAGACTCAGATTTGACATGCAAAACATGATCAGTTTATAAAATATGATGCACTGTTAGTACTACTCAACTGTATATGAAGTGCGACACTGAAATGCTGCTTACACATTAATGCATCAATGTTATAGCTTTAACAATGATGTCAATTAGCCGTTTTTTGACAGAAAACTAAAGTCGATGACTTGCTGAAGCCATTAATCACGAAGAAATGCCAAACAATCTCTGGATCAAGTTTCTCAATCGTCAAGAGTCAATGTTTAATTGATTAACCAAAAAATTATAAATATTTATTGATAATCAACATTGCAGCCCTGTAATACATACATCATCATAATAACAATTTTTTAATACTTCTGTGCAGAAGTCACATTTTGAATGAGTATTTTTTAAGTATTTTTACATTGTGGTATTGCTACTTTTATTTAAGTAAAGAATCTGAGTAATTCTTCCACCACTGGTGGTAGTATGTACAGTATCTATATAGTCTGAGATTTTTATTGTCATATTATCATGATATTCAATAAGTTATCTTTTTCTGGTTTTAAAGTCTGCATAAGAGTTTAATAAGATAAATTCCCATTAATGACCTGTTTGATGTGACTGGGTTTCTGCAGGTTCACCAAGTTAAATTAAAGACGTTTTAATACCTTTTTAATGGTATATAGAATGAAACAGTTATTATCCTGTTTCACAGTCATACCTACTAAAGTATGAATAACATCAATGAAAACCAGTGGGGATGGTATGGACTGGAATTATTGACCAAGGACATGAATTTATAACATCAGAGGTCTGGAAAAAATAGCACTGTGGATTTTCCAGAAAGGTTGTGCTAAAATTAGGTACATTTTATAAGTAACATTACTGACTAAGGCAGGGTATTCCAAATATTCAAGACCTTTGTAAATTAAATTAAACACTTATTAATACTTAAAGGTCTTTCTTTGAAGAAACAAGACTTTTAAAGACCTGCAGTCACACCAGATATATCATCACAAGTCAAAATATGAAAAGGTCGGTAAGAGTGTTGGGGTCCAAATCTGTATACAAGCTTAGTCCTACCAGTGGGCAAGGCTGGATTACCAACCAGGCAAAGAGGGAAACCACCCAGGGGCCCCAAAAGCCTCAGGTTTACTCCATATCATTTGGGGCTACATAATTTGTATAATAGCAAATAGATCAGAACTGTTTGATTAAAAATATAAACTACGACAGGTCAGCCATCCTCCATCTTGTGGGTCTGGTCTTGTAGAGGGGCCCCATGTCATAATCTAGTTTTATGTTTAATCAAACTGCTTCCATTTTCTGTGCATTAACACACAGAATCACAGAAAAAATGAAAGCAGTTTGATGATGGAGAACACAGGGAATGGTATTCAGTCCAACTAACAATTATTTTCATGATCAATACATCTGACAATTATTTTTCATTTTCATGCTCAGTATATGAAATGTCACTAAAAAGAGAAAAACAACATATCAACATATTCAAATTGCTTGTTTTATCTGTCCAACAGTCAAAAAGCCACAGATGTTGAGCTTTACTAAGATTAAAAAAAAACTTGCCAATTAATTTACTGTCAATCACCTATTTGATGAATCATCTTAATAGTTTCTGGGGTGCTACTTGGGTTCCAGGCGCCTGATGAAATGATGAAACATGTACAGTGGGGGTCAATGAGAGCCCAACAACAAGATTTTGCCCCGGGGCAACCTTGGAGATTTAACTGGCTATTGCCAAACTCGTGGTAAACACACTGCACTGCTGCAACATGGGAAATTTCAAGTGTGGTAGCTTAAACATCTAAAGTTTGAATAAGTAGCTTGGCATGATTTAATACAATAAGGAGGGTCAGAAAGTGTTAAATGCAAATCAGACGAGCAACGTAACAAGTTTTGACACTGAACAGGTACATCCGGAGGCTAACCGGCTAATAGCCATCAAGCTAGCTGGATACCAAGTTAAAACTAAGGCTGTCGAATAGACACTCAATTTGTCATTTTACACTCACAGAAAGTCTCTTTTCCTATCCTCACGTTGATCATGATCCACTCCATGACGCCTCCGATGCAAAAGAAGATAGGTAGGAACCTGTACGTCCCAAGACGACGTTTACCTGGGACCAGGCTCAATACATATTTTAGGTTTTTACTCCTGTGAAACATCATGACTAACGGACAAACAGAGTCGTGTGTTGTTTAACTGTTTACGGCACCGTGGCGAAACTCTGGAGGTAAGTAAGGACAGAGGAGCACGGACCTTTTACATGTCCTCTACAATATTATGAAAGCAATGGACGCGAGAGGGTGCGCTCGTTGTGTGATCTGGCGTAAAGCAAATGAGCGGAGTAGTCTGGATAGTTGAGAAAAACCGGTGGCAGCTCGATATTGGAATTTAAAACAAACGCACCCACACAGAGTCGTATTGCTGCGTTCATGTCATATCGTTTAAACCGGAATTATGAGCAGAGGACTGGGGAAAAACTTTAATGAAAGCCAGCGTCCGGTTCCTAATTCTGATTTGGGGATAAAGGGAGTTTCATCGGGGACACCGATGAAATTAAACATACATGTCATGTTACATCAAAATAAAATCCAGTATTTATATTAACACGCCGGATCTGGCTACCTTTATTAGAGATATACACTACTTGTTTGTGTCTGATTTGACTTGGTAAGGAACTGCTACAAATACGCAGTTTAGGCTGTTTTTGTGTGTGGTGTGGTGGCTACAAGGTTAGCCAAGCAGAAATAAGGGGTGCTTTACTTAATACTATTTGCCGACATTCAGTGAATACAGCATAACATCCGGTTGTGTGTGTCTGTGTGTGTGTGTGTGTGTGTGTGTGTGTGTGTGTGTGTATGTGTGTGTGTGTGTGTGTGTGTGTGGTAATGGAGATATAATTTGGAGATAATATGATGAAATGTATGCGTTGTGGTTTAATTATTAAACCACTAACACTGTAAGATTAATGTAAAAGATACAGCTAAACAAGGGTTTAAAGGTCACATAACGTTAATAATTTTGATATTATAATTTTTTTCTGAGCACAAATTAGTGAAATATTTGCATTATAATAGTCATAAAACTGATTCATTTTTTTAAAAATAAAACAGAATTTTGAATAATAATAATATCATATATAATAATAAATAATAGTAATAAATAATAATAGGTGTTCCAGAGACATTGTGGCCTTTTTTCTGCATAAGTAACACGACAGAAATAATATAGGTGTGTTTAAATAAGATTACGGTCACCATAGCCTGGCTTCCTTGAAAGTTTGTATATAAATAAGTGGCCACTGGTTCAGTACTGACACAGCAAAATATAGTCTTTGTGGTCAATGTTGAATTGCTGAAATTGGATGTTTCTGTTTGAAAGCTTTTGGTCTATAAATTCCTGCCAATTACTGAGAAGTGATGCAAGGTTAAATCAAATGTATTGATTGATGAACTCAGAGTGTGTCGAAATCAACTTTGGACATGAATTCTCACATCAAAAACTGTGGCGATTTGTGCCCAGCATCCATAGGATTTATATAATTTATTTAAGGATTGCATTAATGATATATGATAAAATCATCAAATGATGTTTTATAAGACAACAAAACTACAAAAAGGTTGGAGGGAATTGTTTTTGTTTCTTTTTTTTAATTTGATTTATTTTATTATTCAGGAATTACCCATCTCAAATTTCTTTTAAACAGCTTTTTGATGGGCAATGGGGGCTCATGTCCAACATGCCAGTCTAATGCCTTCTCTACTGAAATTCAATAAATAATCTACAAAGTAGGTCACTAGGTGGAAATCAAATGGTGCTGTAGAGTTGCATTGGCATACAAAAGAAAAACACATTATAAACAGTAAGTGTGTGAGAAAGTAGTTTCAACACCGTTGGCAAATTCTTTCAGTGCTTTGCAATAAGTACTCTCATAAACACATTCATTTTCACCCAATTAATTATTAAAACTGCAATTACAAAAACATTTTGTTCCCAGCATTTAATTTACTCAAAGAAATTAGTTTTCTAGCACAAAAACATTATTGAAAACAAACATTAGCAGCCATCTTTTAATTTTGTGCTTTACAGCAGAAAGTAAGTGGTAGGAGTAGTCCAACTGGCAGCACGGCACATGTAAGACAGAGTCTCTCATTTGTATCACCATCATAAATGTTACTTATGTAACTTTGCCAGAAGACATTTTGCTCCCCATTGTAAAACGTATGCTGCATTATTCTGACGATGCTAATTAGCTTCCGATTTCTGCCAATTCTGCTGTTGAAGTGTGAAAAATAATTTACAATACTGACCAACCAATTTGCACCCCTTATGGTTGTGAAAATGTGTCAGACATCCAATTAATGGCTTAATGCCATTTAAACCCACTTTCTTTCTGAATCCTTTATTGTTTTTAATGAAAGCAAAAAAGGATGATTTGATTGTGTTCTCTGTCCTGACAACATAAGTCCAGATCAAAAACCTTTATACTTAGACTGGTAGAATGTACCATGGTAGTGTTTTTTTTTGTCAGTGTGTTGTGTTATTCACACAGATTGTGATTAAAAAGTAGCTCTCAACATTTTTGTGAACTTGGGTACATACAGTTGTAAAGTGCTTCGCAGCTGTTGGATGTTAGAATAGCTGCAACACCATATGAGCTCTAGCACAAAATGTCACAGAGTTAAGGTGAAAAATTAAACTATAAGAAAAATTTAATGACTGACAAATAACACAATGGGTTATTTTTGGCTGGGATGACCAAACACATCACTGTTGATATGAGCTCTAAAGTGTAACAGTATGACATCATACTGCAAAGCACACACAGCAAATACATATACATATACAAGACCATCAGACACATGCATCAAACTACTAGGGTCTTTAGAAATAGTACCATACTTGAGATAATAAAGAGCTAAAAGACTAAGTTTAAGATCTACTGTCAACTCACCAGAAAGTAATTGGGCTAAAGACAATTATAATTTATTATCATTATCATTATTTTTAAAAAAGTACACTCCTGACTCCTTGGGATCCAAAACTCTCTTTTTGTCTCTAGTCCAGAATGTGGCTTAAGCTGTGACCAAGACATTTTTATAATCTCTTTTTTTACTTTTTTCATCCAATTGTGGTCTACACTTAAATTCATGGATACGTGTTCACACTCACTTTTATTACTGACTTTGAGATAAACGGTTGTAGTTTATTGGAAGCACACTAAATCAAAATTATTCCTGTAAAAATCAATGTACCCCATTTTTTACCATCATTGGGGTATAAATATAGTGTCCCTAAATTAATAAAATCATAACTACAGGGTCTTTCTAACTTCATAAAAAAAAAAAAAAATTGTCTTTGTTTTATAACCTCAAAGGATTAATCATTTTTCAAGAAATATCAATATGTAACACATAAAAGAAAGTGTTTATACCACGATAACACTGTATTTAATATTAACTGTCTGGACTTTGAAGTTTGTACACTGTAACACATTGATTAAAATAAGAAAAAAATCATTATTAGTGATACATTACTGAAACAGAGGTCAATTTGTTTCTTTTTTGATGATGATTTGGTGTAATATAAAAAGACAAATGTCACCCACAATTGTGCTCTAACTCAGTCTTCAACTTTGTGAGCTGGTCTAACAGAAAGTCCAGTGATGCTCCACTGTGTTCTCGTTTGCACGCTCACTCATGTGATGCACACGCGTGTTTCGATGGTGAAGCCTTGTTTCATAATGTAGTCCATGAGGTGAACCTTAAGGACACCTCTTGGTGATAGTCACATGGTCCGAATGTGAACGACACCTGGCAGTCTTCTAGTGTCCATCATGTGTTTGTTCCACTTGGTGAAGTTTTGTTGGAAAATACCTTCCAGCAGGGCGTGAACCTTCGTAGTAATGGTTAGCTGGTTGATAATAACAGCGACTGGGTTTGAATATTTTCGACAGTTTCCGAGTGCTAGAGAGCTCCACGACCTGCTCGAAGATGTCTGGAGGGTACAGCGGCTTTGGATCCGTCAAGGCACTGGATCAAAGGTTCACATCTGGTAGAAGTCCGCCTCTTTCCTCAGGAGGTCTGTCTCTGTGAAATCCACAGGGAGGGTGAGCTCGGACGTCCGCAGGAAGTTCAGGATGTACCGGAAAAGTGTTCCATCACGATCGATGAAATAATTCCCTTGGGAGTCGCGAGTTGTGGGAAATCTCCCCT